TTCCTCGAGGTGGCGGCTCGTTGATCGCTCTATTTAGATAAATAAATATTTTTATTTAAATAAATAGAGCGACCGTACTGACTGGGGATCGAACCCAGTACCTTCTGCCCCGCAGATCGACACACTACTGCCGGAGCTACGGCCGGCCACTATCTTTATCTAACTTTGCAAAAAATCAAAGATGCCGGCTTCTTTCATACCATTGCCACCGACCGCTGCTATCGGGTTTCTAGGAAAGAAACCTACGTCGCCGGGCGACAACTAAAATCCAGGTTATATTTTATTGTAATCGATTCTGACGAATAAATCAATTTTATAAATGAATGATTTTTGCTGCCGAATTACTAGATTACAACATTTTACGGCAGATGACGCATCTGTTCGATAATTTGTATTCGAATAGTTTTCGACGAATGTTTTCTTACTACCTATCGAATTATTCGAATGAATTGCAACTATCGAATGTTTCGATAGTATTCTGAAATGGATAACCTAAAAATTCAGCTGATACTTTTAAATGTCAAACGTTGACTATTTACATGTCTAGAAAATAGAATGTTTAGGAGTTATGTTTTGTTTTACCTTACAGATCTATTGTGTGTTCCCCTTTCTTGAGCTATAACGAGTTATAACTCATCATACAGTCTCAGGGCTTTGACAAAAGGCAGTATCTGAGACGGCTCCACAGAGGCTAGCTATATTAGAGTAAGTAGATCGCCGAGTAGCGACAGAAACCGTCGGCTCTTTTGATGTGGTGGGACCAAATTTTCTTTCTCTCTCTTTTGACGTGTTTGACAGATAGACTACGTATTTAACTGCTCAACTTATGAAGTGGTCCTATAAACATGGTATACACTGCTCATAATTTGAAGTGGAATTAATTATAAAGTTTTATACATATTTTTTTTGTTTTGTTTTATCCTTATTTCTAAATTTGAATGTATAAAATATCTTACAGCTAATAAATAATTAAAAAAACGATTCGCTGCCTAAGGTATACTTGAAATAACGTATATAGAGATATTTGATAAATGGCAACAGTGGCAACTTTGCTTCTTCATATGACAGATAACCTACTTATTTCGCGCAGCCGCAAAGAAAATTGAACACGGGACTGTCGCTACTCGTCGGTTTACTTACTCTGGCTATATACTACAGCCATACCGAAGTTTATGACACGAATGGTTGTCGTCTCGGCGCACTCATTGATGAGGTGCTTCTCAGCTTCAATCTACTGAGGTGATGAGACAGTGTACTGTTAGAAACCACGTGAAAATCCAGAGACTGTTCTTATTTAAATAAAGGAAAATCTTTGATTTATCTCGGTGAGAATTTTTTTCGAGTGTCTTAGACCGTTGGAGGATTACGGATGGAGTCTTCCAGGATCTTGAGTTCCTCTTTAAGTTGGTTTCCGTTGGTTTCCACTTGGGAAGCAGAACGTCTGGTTCAGTTAGTGGATGGTTCGCTCCATTTCTTGCTAAATCCTTTGCGTTTTCATTGCCTTCTATCCCTTGGTGAGCGGGCACTGAGTGTAGAAGGTTTATTTTCTTTACCTTATTTGTTTAGCTTCTCTAGGCATTCTTTGACCAACTTCAAAGTTGATCGCTTTTAATTCTGCTTGACTATCAGATAAGATGGATAATTCTTGTTTTCGTTAGTTCTTATCTAAGATAAGATCTTTCAAAGAAAATTGATAATACAATTACTTGTAATTTACTTGATTGATAATACAATTACAGTTGTTGTATTTTAGATTACCATGACAAAAATTTAGCTAACACGTCAGTAGAGGGAGATGGCCGATTCACCATCCGCCGCAAGGAGCCGGAAGTGACGTCATGTGACGTCATCAGCTAGGAACATGTAAAATACGCTAATAAACAAGAATAAACAGGTTTAAACAGAATACAACAGATTTAAAATTGAAATAAACAGGTTTGAACAAAAAATGAACAGGTCTGTTGTAATAAGCTAAAAAGCGGTTCAAAGCAGTTCAAAAGCGGTTCAAACCTGTTTATTCTTGTTTATTAGCGTATTTTACATGTTCCTAGCTGATGACGTCACATGACGTCACTTCCGGCTCCTTGCGGCGGATCGTGAATCGGCTATTTCCCTTTACTCACGTCATTTACAGCAATTATTCTAGAGTCTTTCCAATTTGATTAGTACAGAAGGCGCGCAAAATATAAACACTCTCATAACGGTGAAAAAAATAGGCTGGCCCTGGAAAACAAAGGAAAATATTTGTAAGAGTCTAGTTGGGCCAGGTGCCCCACTAAATTAACCTTTGCTTAAATGTCGCTCGTAAATTTTCTTTATGGGCTTATGGAAGCGGAATGGATATTTTATAACTTGAAAAGTGCCCATTTCGAACTCTATCATTTTCGACAAAGCGACATTAAAATAAAAGGAATTGACTAATATTCGCGAGAAAATCAAAGAATATCTAATACATACACTCATTCACAGCCAAACAAAAACAGTGGTAGGTGGACGAGCTTCAAGAAAGTTCTGTGCAATTATAATTAAAGCTTCTATTGTTCGTTTAATTGAATTACGAGATCGATTTTGCTTTATATTTTAAAGCGGGTATTTATATGGGTCATGTTCATTATGTCTAAATATCGTTTTAACAACCGTTAAATTGGAATAATAGTAATAAGGAAGTTATAAATAAATCTAGTCAACTGCATTTATTGACAAAATGATAAATCTCTTAGCAAAGTTTATTATTATAACTAATTTTATTTATTTATAATAATAATAAACTTTGCCTAACCTAACCAATCTAAAACAAATATTTGGAGCTGAAGTTGTGGAGCGTCAAATTTTACATACAAATGATCTCTATAGTTTTTTTTTTGCTCAGATCAAAATTAACCGAGGTAGTGTGGCTGGGAGCTAAGGGATGATAGTAAAAATTTAAAAAACTATAAGTTGCTGCAAAATTTCATATATTTAACATTTTTATTCAGTTTGTTGGGAATATTATAAATTTCAATTTAAAAATTCAAATTCAAATTTAAAAAAGACTTATTTAAATTCACCCCAAAAAGAGATGAAAAATATAAAAAAAGTATTTTTTTCTAAATTTCAAGGTCTTTGAAAAAAAAATAGTATATAGTCTTAAATGCTTTAACACAATAAATAATTATTTCTAACTTTAAAGTATGGTGTGCAATTTCCTTTTGTATTCATTATGATGTCAAACATTATACATTATATTCAATAAAAAAACACTACCTACTGTTAGTACTTATTAATTTTAACATATATCTGCCTAACTCAATAATATTGGTAGTATTGTAGATTAACACTTGGTTAATATAAGTGTCATTGTATTTAAATGTATTCATTGTATTTAGATGTGTTCATTTATTTATTGTGTTAATACAAATTAGATAACAACTGAAATAACACAGATAATTTAGTTATTAACTGTTGTTTTTCAAATTTCAAGTATGATGAGATGTTCCTTTAATTTTGTGTTTGGTTTGGTTGCGACGTAAAACATTATGCATTATATTGATAAAAAAGATATTATCTAGTGTTAGTAATTATCAATTTCAATATATATTTGTCTAAATGAATAATATTGGTACTGAAGAGTAACTCTGGGTCCATTTTTTCATGTTTGACTCATTAACCAAGATGGGCTAGCAATTTATTCCTAGTTTTAATCCAGTATCAGGAGATAAATAATCAAACAAATATTTTCAGAAAGCAACAAACCTTGTGCTGGTGCGTAGATGTTCAAGTACAAACAATCCTCGCTCTGGTTCCTCAAATAAGGCAACAGCCTCTTCAGGTACTCCAGCCTACCCCTAGGCATCTTCCTCAACGCCGCTGTCTCGTTCGCGATGTCCGGCAGTCTTTGCGGACACACCGGGCTGAAACTATCCGCTATTTTCACCCCCTGCCACAGAGCCCTGGTTACCGGAGGCATGAACCTCAACGACCCTAAAGGAGAACTGGCGTAGGGTATTCCTCTGAACACCTCCACCGGTTCCAAATGTTTCGATTCGGGGGTTACGATGACCCAACTGACGTCACCGTACTTTGTTTTGACCGTGCGAGAGGTTAAGGAGTTGCGTTGCACTTCAGATGGCACTGGATCGCACTGGTGGTAATCCAGGAGGAAAACAAGGAAGATCCAGCAGAGGTGCGATAGGTGTGCTATGACCGAGGCCTGCTGAAGTATTCAAACGCATCGTTTTGGTGGATTTTTTCACTAAAACTTCGAAGAATGCACTGATATTAAAAAGAAATACGAAAGGAACTGGTTTTTAATAGACTTATAAACGGAACTATACTAAAAAAGAAGGAAATTCAGTTTACACCATATTCTTTAACGGATATTTTTGGGTCATATTAATTATTACTGATTACCATGAGACACACAACCGTTAAATTGGAATAAATGTAGTAAAAAGGCAATTATTAATAAACCTATATAGCTTAATTTATTGACAAAATTATAAACCTTTTAGCAACATTTTAATATCTTCTTAATAGAATTAGAGAAACGCCCTCTAACTTAAAAAATGAAATACAAAACAACTTAGAATATCATTAAAGAAAGTTGAAAATCGTTTACAATAACTACAGCAAATATTATATCTATTGTATGACGTACAGTAGCAATTTTAGATGATTATAGGTTAAAAGAAGTGTCATTGTGTTTAGATGTGTTCATTTATTTATTGTGTTAATAAAAGTTAGTTAACAACTAAAATATCACAGATAATTTAGTTATTAACTGTTTTTGTTATGTTTCAAGTATGGTGAGATGTTCCTTTAATTTTTTGTGTATATTTTGTGTATATGATGAAAAACATTATGTATTATATTAATAAAAAAGTCACTATCTAGTGCTAGTAATTATCAATTTCAATATATATTTGTCTAAATGAATAATATTGGTACTGAAGAGTAACTCTGGGTCCATTTTTTCATGTTTGACTCATTAACCAAGATGGGCTAGCAATTTATTCCTAGTTTTAATCCAGTATCAGGAGATAAATAATCAAACAAATATTTTCAGAAAGCAACAAACCTTGTGCTGGTGCGTAGATGTTCAAGTACAAACAATCCTCGCTCTGGTTCCTCAAATAAGGCAACAGCCTCTTCAGGTACTCCAGCCTACCCCTAGGCATCTTCCTCAACGCCGCTGTCTCGTTCGCGATATCCGGCAGTCTTTGCGGACACACCGGGCTGAAACTATCCGCTATTTTCACCCCCTGCCACAGAGCCCCGGTTACGGGAGGCATGAACCTCAACGATCCTAAAGGAGGACTAGCGTAAGGTATTCCTCTGAACACCTCCACCGGTTCCAAATGTTTCGATTCGGGGGTTACGATGACTCCGCTCACGTCACCGTACTTTGTTTTGACCGTGCGAGAGGTTAAGGAGTTGCGATGCACTTCCGATGGCACTGGATCGCACTGGTGGTAATCCAGGAGGAAAACAAGGAAGATCCAGAAGAGGTGCGATAGGTGTGCCATGACCGAGGCCTGCTAAAGGTTCTAAGTATTCGAACGCATGGTTTTGAGTTTTTTTTCACTAAAACTAACGAAGAATACACTAGATATTAATCAAAACGTCGAAATAAACTGGTTTATAATGAATTTTTGAACGGATTTTCACTGGTTTCGCGAGTCGGGCGATGCGACGACCGGCGAGTTTTTCGATAAGGAACGGAACGCGAATCCCGAAGGATGAAGGGGGAGGCGCGCGCGAAACGTTGTCCTTGCGGATCCTGCAGGACGACTGGCAGCAGGAGCGCCAGGACGTGGTCGTGCGCATGCAGCGCCATCTCTGTGCGCGCTTGTGCAAGATCGGGACAAAGTTGGTTCGATTCGTGCTGTTAATTCGCCAAGAAATTCCGCGTGCGGTAATTTCATTCGGTTTTGTGACGATTCGAATTACGAAATTTTAAATTTGTCGCTTTTTTTGGTGGTTAATAATGACATCTGGCAGCAGATGTGTACGATTAGGCGGGATAAAAAATTTCTTCACAAAATAATGAGTTAGTATCCCAGCAAAGTGTTAATTTGGGATCCTATTAAGTCAATTTTTTTGGGAATATTAATCCTACCTATTATTTCAATACCTAGAAAAAAATACAAAAACCAGAATCCTCCTTTCTTGAGTTACAACTCATAATACAGTCTCATGGCTTAAACCAATACCCAAGCATATATCTGACTTCGAACTAAATCTGACCTGAAGCGACGTCAGACTTTGTGCAAATTTAGGTCGGGTGCTGGTGATACAACCGGTGACGTCGCTTTCCTATTAAAAGCGACGTCGTTGGATCCGAGTCGGTAAATCCAACGATCGACGCACAAAATAACAACGTACCATTTTTATTAATTTCCCAACGTCGCGGTCGTTCCCACGTTGGCTTGCACGACGTACATATACTTGAACTAGCCCGACGTCTATCCGTTGTCCGAATAGGATACGTCTCACTGATAATCCCTAAATTGACGTCCAATTATATTTTGTTGTATTTTATGTTCATATTTATAACCTTATTTACGTATCTCTATTTACATCCGTAAATCCGTTAGACATTCATCTACATTTTACAGGAAGAAGTCGAGGCTATTACAAAATTATAATAGTAGTAGTGATGTCTTGCCTTCACCCACGAATGCTTCTTATCCGGAAGAGATGCTGCATTAAACTGGTGCATCTTAATTTTTTTTTAGCTTAGGAAACCAGCAGATCCCATCTTCCTCCCACATATGAGGTACTGGTTCCAATTCTTTTAAATTTTGTATATTGTATACTATCTTAAAAAAGTGGCTGCCCATTTTTTAAGGAGAAAACAAAAACTAAAATATAATTGCACAAATCCACAAATCACTGATACGAAAAGTGAACGAAACCGTTGAACTGTCAAACATATTTTGACAACAAACAATTGACCTATCATAGACCAAACAGACAACGTCGGGAATCGTTTACCAGGAATACAAAAAAATTATATGCTCTGTGGCCGACGACGGATGACCAAACTACGTATGCCGGCCGATGGCAAACTTTATGTGGCGTACGTTGGAATTATATACATCATAATACGATTGCCGCTCGTCCGGTTTGATGACTTCGGTCGTGTGAGACGACTAATGTTGGAGACCCGGTCGGAATTGGGATATTGGTAGTTCATATTAAGTCGGACACAGAAATCCGCCATTCTTAACAATTATCCGATTGTCAGCCATTTTAAAATCGTCTTTTGTTTTTAAAATTTATATTCACATTCCCATTTCTAGTAGAAAAAATATTGATAAGGTTGAGTTTGGGGGAACCACAGTACAGTTTTATGATTAAACCAGCTAGATAATAAAAAAAAATATTTTGCGAGTTACTTTTTTATAGATATTCTTATTTCATAAATCTACCTAATTTTGAAGGCGCTCGTTGTTTTCCGGAGTATTTTAATCAGATATATCAAAAAAGTGACTTCCGTTGACGAAACTGATGTCTGGATTAATGATTCAGAATTATTATGATATGAAATTAGGTAGGCACTTATAGTTATATTCGAGGAGTGATTATGAATCCATTTGTAATTAGGTAGTTTGGTTAGGTTTATATGTATTATTGACAGCGAATTTGAAACCAAACGTAACGTAAGTGCTTAGCGACGAATTTTAAGTAACTGAAATCCAACGTAATATGACGTTGGTAATTGGTAGAATTACATTCCCTATTTAGTCAGATATAGATACCGACGTCGAGGCGACTCGAATCTGTATTCCCCATTTAGGTGCAAATAAGGGTCGTCAGAGGGTCGAACCGACGCGACGTTGGTACCCGACGTCGGGTTTATTGAACGCGACGTATACCCGACGTTAGATAACGTCCAAATGCTACTTGGGTATCTGAGACGGTTTCACAGAGGCTAGTTTTCCATCACGAATATCAGTCGTACCAAAGTTTATGCCACAAATTGTTACTGTCTTGGCACCCTCAGTGATGGACTGTTTTGGTGTTTCTTCATTTTCCCCATAGAGTTTGCATTTGCCGTTGTTTCTTAGCTTCAATCTACTGAGGTGTTCATTGAGGAGACAGTGTCCTGTTAAGAAACCTTGACAACCCAAAGATTGTTCTTACTTAAATCTAGGAATATTTTCTGACCATACATAAACTGACTAAGATGATAAAATTGACACTCCAAGAGACAGTAAATGAGGTCAAACTAAGCAAGAAAACAACGGAAAAATGTATAATCGGGACGGATGGTTAAGACAGGAGAATCCACTAGCTCCAGTACTGGTTTAGTGTAGTATTAGAAAAAGTTATAAAAGATGCGGGAATCAACAGAGAGAAAGAGAGAGATTCTGTATACAAAAAGACTTAACCTTTGCAGATGATTTAGTTATCTTAGAAAGAGATCGGAAAGAGCTGATATCGGTTACCAAAAGATTAGAAGAAACAAGTAGGCTTAGTGTTTAATGAGAAGAAAACGAAGTTTATGGAGTGGTGAAATAGGAATTTTGAGAAGGGAAGATGTAGATTCTACAAATAGATTCTGAGAGAGGGAAACGGTACAAGTTTGAGGAAGTAGATACACTCACATATTTAGAATCTGTGTTTCTAAAGAAACCAAAACTCAGGAAATTGTGGCAAGAATAATGACAGCAAATAGATGTGTTAGCGTACTACAGAAAATTATAAAGCGCAAGAACATCTCTAGAATCAGAATATAGATGGTTAAACCATGAAAAAAAATACATCAAGCCTATAAAATGCAAATATACTGGTTACTCATAAAACAGAAAACATCAGTTATTTTTCAAGAGCTTGTCAATAGACTGAACTAGAATAATACCTTATCTATTTTAATCGATATTATGTAAAAATGTTCCAGTTTCCCTTGAAAATTTTCCCCGTTTTCCGCGAACTTAAATTAGGTTTTCCAGGCTACGTTTCCTCGTAGTTATATATTGTGTTTGTTCACCATCGGAAAAGTCCAACTTTACCTCTTTTTCATCTTATTTTATTTGTATTTGGTGCTTAGATCATCTATACTGTCGTGGATACCGTTATGTTTTAGAAGTTTTTTTTTTATAAAAAAGGTCTTAAACATGTAAAAATATAAATTAATACACTGGACTGAACATCCTACCAAACTATAAAAAAAAAACGGCGTCAAAGATAGCTGGGGAATATCAATCGATGATAATTTTAGTTAAGCCCCCTAGAGGTTCACTTACTCTGTCCGTACTCTTCTTTATTTTTTAATAGCTTACAGTACTGCCAATTGACGGTAAGTAGGTTGTAATTTATTTTAATAATCAGTAAATAATTTTTAAATGGTACAGTTTAAAATTTTATGTCTGGAAATACTCTATCCTTTTTTATTCTTTCTATAATTAGTATATTTTGACAATTTTTTTGTCAAATAATAGAAAATGGCGTCTAGAGATTGACCTCGCCCAAATTATCATCAATTTTCATTTCCCAGCCGTATATATGTATAAATGTATAATACTATAAGAGAATCTATACTCAGATGCAAAAAAAAACGTAAAGGAGAAATTTTGAATCAAATTTAAAATGTTATATTATTTTTGTTATTTTCAGTCCTATTTTCATAATTTTTTTAGCAAGCTGTATATAATTATGTCACCTTTTATTCGTAAACTCAGTTTTTTATAAAGTTTAGTATTTGGCATATCATATAGGGTTAATTAAGGGGTTGTTTTTGACCTTAATTTTAAAACACCCTGTGCAATAATTTCGTGTGTAAATTTTCTTAAAACATAATTTTACCGTCAGAACCGTGTCTCCTGAGCATTTTGTTTTTTTATGGTCATATCAATACATGCCTTGGTTAATTTTTAGGAGCGAAATGAGCTTGCCACCAACAATTTGCAATTTTTTCAACAATGTACTTAATTAGCCGTTAAACGGTAGCCTACTAAAATGCCGTTAATAGATATTGTGACGTCGTTCATGTCGGCGGAAAGTAATGCCTGGCTATAAGCATTTTGCAAGAGCACCTGTGGCTCCGTGGCTGAGGCTATCGCTTCGTGAGCGAATGGTCCGTGGTTCAAATCTCACGCCGACCAAGACTTTTTATATTTTTTTTTGCTTATAGCGTGATCTTATTGCATTGGTTTCACTCTTTTTGGTTGGATTAATTTAGTTATTTGGCGGGTTGGTTAGCGTGGTTATTTGGAGGGTCTTAATTCATTGGTTAGTTGGTTATTTGGTGGGATTGGTTGGTTTTTACTAATTTATTGGTTTTTACTAATATATTTTATGCCGACGCTAGTTGCGTTGGTTATTTGGTAGAGTAGATAGCGTTGGTTAGTTCTTATAAAATTCCTATATTTCATAAAGCCGTCAAGTGCGTCACATCAACGACGTCATACCTATTAACGGCATTTTAGTAAGCTACCGTTTGACGGCAGTTTAAGTGCCTTTTTTCAATTATCATTTATTTTTTAAAGTTATTTTTCAATCTCTCTTTCTTCGGCTTTCA